AAAATCGAGTCAGATTCATTTTTTGTTACTGAGTTGACCCAAAAAATAGAGTTACAGCCCAATCCAACCCTACTTCTATTTTTTTTAGAAAATAAAAAATATATCCGTATCGATAAAATTTAAATTTTATGAAATTTTAATACTAAATGTAATATGCTCGGTGGAAAAGCCTCATTTTTAAAAAATAATAATAAAAAAAATAGTATATCAAACAATAAAAAATAATAATTTGTTACAAAATTAGTATAAATTAAATATTTAAATTTATTGGCTGGTTATTTAAATTCGTTTACAATACAAATTATTGCTCATTGGTGAATTGAATAAGTAATTGCTCAATCTGCATTTCGGCCCAATTGGTATGACTGGGCCTTTGGCCTATGGGCTTTGAATAAGAAGTTTAATATTTGAGGCCCAATTAGGTTGTAAATGGGCCGTAGGCCCATGGGTTAGAGAACTGGAAAAGCAAGGCCGAGCAATAGCTAAGGGCAGAGATTACCGAACTGTCGAGGGTCGTCGGACGAGAAAGCGGGGAATTTGCAGCGGCGACGACGACGACGACGGAGAATGGATGGTGAAGAAGGAGGGATACGGCTAAGCAAGAGGTTCTCCGACAAATCTGGATCCGGTGAAGTTGATTACAAAACCAAGGCTGGCACCGCTTGGAGCCATTCTTATCTCAACCAGAAGCCCTGGCATCCTCTCTCGTACCCTAATCAACGCCGGAAATGGATCGCCGAGCAGACTCACTCTCAGCGAGAAAAGCGCGCCGAGGAAGTTGCTCGCGAGGTCAATTATACGCTTCAGTTCTGTTGTTTCGCACTCGCTAGATCTTTCTTCTCAATGTTTTTTTTTTTTTTTTTCCTGTTTGCAGTATGCTCAAGAGCAGGAGTTCTTTCGCCAGACTGCTCTTGTCTCCAAGAAAGAGAAGGAAAAGGTCTTACCTAGTTTTTTTTTTCGCTTACTGATGTTTACACCTTGATTGAAGCAAATTTCTTATTTAGCACTTTCGTGAAGCTGTCTAGGTTAACGATACATAGCAATCTTATAGTTTTAGTGATTGGTTAATGTTTGTGCCTTATCTCATCATCATCTTTTCATTGAGTTCTGTTTCATTCTTTTTATTTCTGGTTGCTTATGTTGCAAATTGGAGAAGGTGTTCTATGGCTATTGGCTAGGATTTTGTGAGAGTGGCTCTCTCATCTTGTAAATTTTTTACGTCTATGTTTTCTGAAAAAAAGTCCTGCTGCTGACAGTCGCCATGCCGAACTCAATCTTAATGATGATGACATAGCTGAAATTGTTTCTCCAACGTTACTCTTCCATCCGGACGAAAGATCCTGTAGTTTCTTTACGAGAATAGATAGTGGACTGTAGTTTTCCTTCCATTTGTTATTTAACGAGTTGCTATTAATTGTTTTTCTGCTTGTTGTTTATGGAGAATTTTGGCCATTGTTGCTGAAATCTGTGTTTGGTGGTTAGTTGGAGATGATGAAAGCGGTTAGTTTTATGTACGTACGACCACCTGGTTACAATGCTGAAAGTGCAAAAGCTGCAGAGATCGCTGATGATAGGAAGAATCAAGAGGGTGATAGCTCCTCTCAGAATCTGCCCAAGGATGGCTCTGTGAATGAAAGGTACTTCATCTTTATCTTGCACAATTATGTTCTTATTGTTCAGATGGAAATGCGAAGGAATGTTCAATGATGAGGATGATTTGAAGTTTTTTACCCTTTAAAGGCAGTAAAATTTCTCTTCTTCTTGTAGGCCACCAGAATCGTCAGGCACAGTCGGTAGGGACCATGGCGACAAGAAGAAACCAAGGCCAAAAGATGTTTTCGGGCGTGCTTTGCCCACCGAAGAAGAATTTGAAGTCTTAAAAAATGCCCCTCGGTAAGTTGCTAGCATGCTGAGATTGAATGAATATGAGTACCACTTTGATTTTGTATGTTGCAAACTCTAGCAGTTAGCATATAGGGAATAAGTGACTATGGCTCATTAATTTTGCTCAAGGTGGAGAAAATGCTATTAATTATCTATCACCCTTTGACTTAATAGACTTCAAGAACATCTCTAGTTAAAACTTCAGTCGATTTTATGCACCACCAATTTCTTGATGTTATGATTACATGGATTCGTTGTCCCTCTGGATCGATGTCTGCTTGTCCTTTTGTCCACTTATACTTCAAAACATATTGGAGGGTCCTCATCCATAAAGAATCTGATAATGCATACCATATGCAAAGAGTTTAAAAGGTAGTATACGAAATGAGCTGCCAAATAGCGAATAAACAATCTCGTACTGTGCGGTATTATTTGGATAATTTCACAGTTAATTTTGGGTTATGTAATCTAAATGTTACTCATATTTTGTTTGAGATTTATGGTTTCTTTCCGTCTGTTTCCAGGATGGACACAGGTGTTTTTGCGAGAGTAAAACCATTTGGGGTAGAAGTACGCAATGTGAAATGTGTTAGATGTGGGATCTTTGGCCATCAAAGTGGTGATCGTGAATGTCCGTTGAAGGATGCTATAATGCCAAATGAAGAAAATCGATTGAAAAGAGATGACCCTTTATCTACAATACTTGCGCATGCAGAGAGCAGTGAGGCTAGTATTTTGATTTATTCTTCGTTTGAAACTTACATTGCAGTATTACCTTGTAACAGCCTAAGTCCACCGCTAGTAGATATCGTTTTTTTTGGACTTTCCCTTTCAAGCTTCCCCTCAAGGTTTTGTTTAAACGTGTCTGCTATGGAGAGGTTTCTGCACCCTTATAAAGAATGCCTCGTTCTCGTCTCCAATTGAACAGCCCAAATCCACCGCTAGTAGATATTGTCCTTCGGGCTTCCCCCAAAGGTTTTTAAAACACGTCTGCTAGGGAGATGTTTCCATACCTTTATAAAGAATGTTTAGTTCTCCTTTCCAATCGACGTGGGATCTCACATACCTAGTCTGATAAGTGCTTTAGTGTGTATACTGTTTTCAATATTCTGACATTAATGTGCGTCATTCTTTACTCCATGAACTGTTGGTGACTTAGCTGTTGCTCTACCATTGATTGGTAACCCGAATCGAGCGTGTTAAATATTTGTTCTCATGTGTTTCCTTTTCCATGTTATCTACAGCCTCTGAAGTGGGAGTTGAAGCAGAAACCAGGAATCAGTCCACCCCGTGGAGGTTTTAATCCCGACGACCCGAACCAGCAAATAGTTGCCGAGGACATATTTGATGAGTACGGAGGTCAATGCTTTTTCCACCACGACAATCTTCCGATTCTGATTTCTCTCTTTTAGCTGGTAACTGATTATTTCCCATCTATAATCTGTAGGCTTTCTCAGCAGTGGCGGTATTGTCCCTGAATTGCTGTCCAATTTTTCAAGCAAACCCAAGAAAAAGAAGTCTTCAAAAGAAAGTTCACGGAAAAAAGCAAAGAATCAAGAAGACGATGAGAGAATATCAAAGAAGAAAAGTAAATCTAAAAGAAAGAAACAAATCAGTAGTGAATCAAGTCCAGAAACCTCAGAGTCTGATAGGCGAAATAGAAGGAACAAGCACAAGACTTCCTATTCTTCTGATGATTTCGACTCGAAAACGCAACTTGGGACTAAAAAGCATAGAAGGAAACATCTAAATACTTCTGATGTTTCTAACTTTGAGCGGCCTCATATTACTGATCGATATTGCCCCGAACGAAGCCCTTCTGATATTTCAGACTCTGGTAGGCAGGATGAACGGAGGAAAGGCAAGGGTTCTGAATCAGAACACAGATCAGGCAGAAAAAACCAATCATACTCTTCTGAAGAGTCCGAATTCGAGACGCATCGACGAAGTGATAAAAGCAGATCCAAACGCTCCTTGTCGAAAGATCATCGCCCAGATAGTCATCATTCAAGTAGCAAGATGAGACGTAGGAGGTCTTATTCGTCTGATGATTCAGAAACGAACAGGCGTCGTAAAAGTAAAGGCCAAAAGCACAATTACTCATCAGATGATTCTGAGCAAGAGAAACATGCTAGAGATAAGAAGAGAAGATGTTAGTGTATTCGTCATCAAAATTTGACGTTAAAACGATCGTTGGAGCATAGTATTTCGAAGTAAAACGACATTGACGATAGCTGGTAATGCCTGATATCTATCACTTAAGATGAGATGTTCTATTTGATCATTACACTTGGGAATATGATTATAAAAAAAAATACCATTGGTGTTTTGAATGCCTCCTAATCGAAAATTATACACAAGTAATTATTTGATTGAGATATGATAAATATTGAGTTACTTTAAATGTCAAATTGATTCATTGATTGAGGAACACCATATTGCTGCATCTCTTAACCTTCTCTAAGACATCATTTTTCTCTTTTCTAATTTCTTGATTAGAATTCATATATCATTATTATCTATTATTCATCCATTTTCGTGTGGAGGATTAGTGTATTGCCAATGACGTTTTTATTTGAATATCTTAGGACGTGCTCTATTAAATGTTTTAAGATATGTATTCGGTAACGGCTTTTAAAAAATTGTTTTATAACATGTCTGGTAGACAAGTTTCATAGGACCTGACCTCAAGAATTGAGACGATAGAAAACCGATTAGGCTTGGTTAATTTTGTCAGAAAAGAAAGTAGGTTTTGGAGATTCATTGATATTAGTAAACTTCTAGTGTTGGTAACGTCGGGACTGTGGTCGTCCATAACAAATAAATGCACACTCTTTTGGTCCGGTGCATAATTCAAGCAAAGGCCCCCGAGCCCGAGAGGATCTTAGACGGGCACCCAATCAAGGCCGTCGCCCTCGCCCTTCTTTATTTCTTATATATATACATATATACACGCACACTTTCAGATGCCTGGTTTAAAATTGTTTCCAATTGGTCCATTTTCATCAGATTGCGAACACTACAAGAGTCACTTAAGATACCAAAGAATTTATGCATAATTTGTTCAATCAACAGAGGGCAGCATGGAATTTACAGTACAGAGAGAGAGAGAGAGAGAGACTCCGAATGTAAGACAGTTGATGATGTATATTATGTATTATATGTTACCTAATTAACGAACTTCTACTCCACAATGAAATTATAACTAATATAAACCATGTACTGTCAAAGAGGCAGTTTTCTCTCCAAAAATTGGAACCTGCAGGAGTTTCTTTCTTTCAATCAATCAAACAAAGGCTCCAACCACCCAAACCCAACAAACTCGTTCCAGTTCTGAATATCAGCAAAACCTCAATGTAGCTTCTAGCTCTGCCTCATCAGCACAGTTGTATCCCAGCAAGTAAGCTCGAGCTGCAACAAATTAATATCTCTCGTATAATATATGCATTTCTCATTTCGAAACGATAACAATAAGAGAAAAAAGATAGATTGTTATCGTTTACCAAAACGGCCCGAACCCATGAATGGTTCTGCCTCCGCCTCATCGGTTACACCTGCTAGTTGCTGTTCCTGAAAGTTTGCGATATACATTCCACATGAGGTGTAGAACAGAAATGAACACACAGAACAAACCTTCCATGAGATGAAGGCATACAAATGACGTTCCAATGATTCACAATGTGAACGGATCAGATACTAAGCATTATGAACAAGAATTTAAAAGAGCTGAGTGTTATATCTCAAAGAGAACAACGAATATCACAAAACAGCGAGGGATCGAGAGAGATTAATGAAGTTGGATGGAGTTGATCGAAGGATCCAAGTTATATAATAAATCATAGGCCGAGAATTTATGATATTGGATGATTAGAAGTCATTGGAAGAAGAGAAAAAATGCAGGGAGAAGCATTGACCACACCAGACCAAGGTCAGTAATTTGGCACCAAAAATGATAGCCTATACACTGATTGCGCAGTTCTATCAATCCAAAACTGTTCAACATCCATTTTCGGGCTCAGAAAGATGCAAGCAGACAGACAAAGTCCTAAAAAGAATATACAAAAGCTCGACGAACAAAAGCCTCCGGAAAATTAAGAATAGAAAGGGAAAAATGAACTAAACTAGACATACATGTGTAATAATAATAATTTAAACGTAGCGATTAAACAAGGTATTGGAATAATAAATTGAAATTCTTGCAATGATATTTTCTCCATCATTTCATATGTCTAAATGCTTGACCTTGTGGATCATTCCAACACCTACATATGAGGAGTGCTGAGAATATATGATTAAAGTACTTCTAGTCCAAACAACATAAGCATTGGGCATCAAAACATGAAGTCATAATTTCAGATCTACTTTTAAATCAACCGAATACTCGAACCTAAATGTGAAGAGAAGTGCCAAAAAGTTGTTAAACAATTAAATTATGTTGACCTCATAGCTTAATCCTGCAGATATTCTAACGTAAAGGAACTTAAATTAGTAGTGGAATCAACTGAGAACTTCAAAACAGACAAAAATGTGAAGAAGCTTAATCTAAAGTTGGCTACGAAATCTCTACCATTTAATTTACTCAAGTGATAAAAAAAAATTCCCATTTATAGTCTCACTCTGTTTTCAGTAGCGAGCCCTCTGATAGGAAGTTAGATAGCAGCAGAAAGATCAGACTCATCAAGGTCGGTAACGTTTGAAAGAGGTTTGTACTCACCGAATCCGGTTCCGTAGAATCTGGCAAAAGCAGATTATCAAAGCAGTGTCCAGATATTCTGCAGACAAGTTGTTCATCATCGGGATCCATAATGACTTCTCTGCATGTGTCATCGCATACTAGGAAGAAAACATAGGTCTCATCAATTACACGGGCACTAAAGCCACTGGATAATCGAAAACAAAATTTCAATATAAAAGAGAGAGGAATATCCTACCATGAACAAGTCCAGTTTTTTCACATACAAATGCATCTCCAATTTGGTAATATGTACAAGTTTCTCCAGAGCAAGTGTGATCTATGACTATCTTGTCAGCCAAGCCCTTGCTGCTTTTCCATGAAGATACTTGATCAGCCACAGTCCTGTCAAGAATTATTTGGTCATCCTGCACCTGCAAATGCCCAATTGTTTTGTTTTTTTTTTTTTTTTTTCCGTTACCAGAAAAATAGAATTAGTTGCCAAGCTAATATCCGCCTACAGACACCTGAGAGACCTCCACAAGGAAGACTCCTAAAAAAAGTGAAAAAAGCAATTCTTACTAAGGAGGGAGGGAGGGAGATAGCCTTGGATAGACCCAAAAAACAGACCTATAAAAGAAACTATGTGTTGGGTTTCAAGCAACCATGCATGAACATTTATTCAACCCTTTCTTAAAACATAAGGATAAAGAACCAGAAACAATATGGGTGATTCTTTAGCAGCGATACGAGCTTGTGAGAAAATCAGATACCTGAGAAGGAAGAGGAGCTTGACTTCTTTTTGCTGCTTGCATTTGGATGTAGTACTCTTTAAACTCGGAAGAGCAATCTCGAACCAGTTGAGTCATATCTTCTCCATCACGCTGGGATGAAAGAAAAGATGGGTGATTAGTACATTACCAAGAGGAGAATAAAATCAGCTAACAAGATGAATATATTGCTGCGAGAAGGAGCCTTCCAAAGTACTCCAAGAGCTAGAGTGATACAGATTTAAGAGAATCAGTATACAAATTTCTTTCTTGCTAGGAATGATTTCAAATCATACTGGCTTTTGTTTCTCATTAGATTTCATACAATTTTGAGCAAACCACTTCCTAATCATCTTTTAATATATAAACTTTTTTTTATTTTCTTTTCGTTTCGACTAACATCCAAACAAAAAGAATGTAAGTGCATTCATTTCAAATCTTTTCTTTTCCAAACAATATAAGAATTTATAATCGTTTCTTTTATTTCGAATGGCAGGTTTAGGGTAAGAGAAGAACCTGAATGTAAAGTTTTTTCCAAGGACATTGGCGCAACTTCTTGGTCACGGGCATCAGACCCCATCGTAGACAATATCTGCAAACGAGTTGCAGGCGAAGTGTGTTAGTAGATATTTAGAGATATTACAATATGTTCCCTGTGGTAACAAGGTTCGAACATATTCTAGGGTTCAATGTGACTATTGTCACTTCGGCCAACACACAAGATGAGACTTTACAGAGGAAAACCAATTAAAGTTGCGCCGTAGAGTAGCATGCAGATCAAACACAGATAGATAGGATAAATAAGATGGCATTACTCACAATCTTCGCCATAATGATTCATCAGACGCCACAGAGTTTAAAAAACGACAAACCAGTGAACAAGAAACCAGATCCTGCACCAAATGACGAAGTGAAAAACAAAAATGGAGATGAAATATGAAAAAAAGAAAAAGAAAAAGAAAAAAACTCTTCACAATACCTCTGATGAGAGAAACTTGAGGATATGGCGGAAGAGCTCCGGAGGAACTTTACTGAAAATTCCAGTCTCAATCCTCCCGGGAACGACGCCCTTGGATTGTGATTGAGAGGACGAAGTTGTGACCGAAGCTACCTCTCTTTGTTCGTTAGGGTTAATTTGTTCGATTCGAGCTCTCTTAGGTTTTGGTTCCTCCTCCCTGTTCCCCTCTTCCTACAAAAATCCGCACTCAGATTCATCATCGTCCGACGTAATTGACCCTAAATCGGCATCAACATGATAAAATTTGGAGAAACCAACGAACATATACAAACTATACGCCCTAATCCCAGTCAAACTCGACAAACAACATCGACGAATGAGAACGGCAAGCAATACAAACCTTGTCGGAGACCTCCGAGAGGACCTCTGATTCGATGAATTGAGCTAAGAACTCGTCTTCTTCATCTGGAATGGACATTTCACATCAAGCAGCGGGATTTCCAAACTCCTGCAACGATCGGATCGTGAACACTGAATAGACCACTAAATAACCTGCGTCGTCCGGTGACCGGAGCTGGCAGCCGGCAGTTCCGGCCTTTAGAACGACAACCGACCCCCAATAACCCACCCGAAATCACGGGAACCACACCAGGTGAGGATTCTCCACAACTGCACAACGCGAGCATCCTGCGGCCAGACTCTCCGAATTGGGCCGACGGCCCAAACTTTTTGGTTGGGTTCAATGGGCCGTATCTTGATAAGGCCCAGCCTGCTATAAACGGCCTTTTCCCCTTAAATATATTTTCAATAGAAAATAATAATAATAATAATAATTTCATTTTGTTTTTTTTTTCATTAATTTATTTTAATTCCTAAAAAGTTAATTTAAACATTAAATTAAATAACAAAAAACTTAATATAATATTACTATATTTTATTTATTACATTAAGCCACATTAATTAGGTTTCCTAATTAAACTTAGAATATTGTTGAATAACACTAAATGGCAAAAACTAAATAATTTACAATGTTAATTTAATCAAATTATTTTTAAAAAATAATTTACAAAATGTGGAGAAAAAAATAATTAATTAATAATATACGTTTTATTTTAGTTAGAGTATTTTGTCGGACTAGTTTTCTTATCGTCAACGTCAAATTTGGCGATGTTTCATTTTTATACAGATAGATTTTTTTTAAGTCCTTTAAATTAGGTCGAAACTTCAAAGTCATGACTCGGGTCATATGCATTCTGAAATTCATGTTAAATTCCGAAATTTTTTAGATTATGGCTCGGAATCTTACTTACTTTGGAACTCATTTCATAACTCCAAATTTTAAGGTTATAGCTCGAGATCTCGTACACATTATGGAATTCATGTCAAACTCCAAATTTTGAGGTTATGGTCCGAGATCTTACCCATTTTGAAATTCATGTCAAAACCCCAAATTTCAAGGTTATAGCTCGAGATCTTGTACACATTATGGAATTCATGTCAAACCCCAAAATTTGGGGTTATGGCTCGAGATCTTACCTATTTTGGAATTCATGTCAAAACCCAAAATTTCAAGGTTATAGCTCGAAATCCCGTACACATTATGGAATTCATGTCAAACCCAAAAATTTGAGGTTATGGCTCGGGATCTTACCCATTTTGGAACTCATGTCAAAACTCCAAATTTTAAGGTTATAGCTCGAGATCCTACACCGAGACGTGTTTTCGGATAATGTTACTTATGCTTAACTCGGTTTTATGGGATATCAATTACCAATATTAACATTTTTAGAAGGGAAGCTAAATTAAAAAGAATGGTGGCGGCTGGTCGAGAGATTATAAAGAACCCTCTCACTTTTCTTCCTTTATCTGGGTTTCAAATGCAAGCTGTCCCTAATAAACAAGAATTTGTCTCCGAGAGATGAACAGAGGGAGTTGACTTTCACAAGATTGGCTAAAAAAATGGTTCACTGATCGCAATACACAGACCTCATTAGATCACCTAAACTCCAATTTTCGTCGCTCTTCGTTCTCGCTTCCGAGAGATGCAGCTTTTAGAGGACGAATTGACTGCGATGGTGATGATTTAGATGAAATTTGGGCCAATTCGTTGTTGAGATTTGAAGAGTTTCACAGAATCGACGATTTGAAGGCTCTGCGAACATGGTTTCGGGAAATGGGTGTCCGGAGGGAGTCAATACGAGGCCTCTGTTCTTGGTGATCTATACGACGGTCACTGTTGGCATTGTGTTCTCGTCGTTGTATGTGTTTTCGGCTGTTTATTCGTCTTCTAGCTCTGTTTCTGATTCCAGCTCCTCCTGGTTTTCGTCTCCTTCTTCTGACTTGACCAGTACGTTTTCTGTTTCTCTCTTTGAGTTTATTGCTCTCGGTTGTTGAGATGAATGGTTGAATGATTGTTGGTATATAGAACTTTAGCCGATTTACTTGCTCTATCGTACTGCATTTGGATGTTGGATTAGTTTACTTGATGCACTGTAAGCTAAACTGGATTTGCGCTTGGTTGAGACCAAATCCTCTTTGAGTGATGGTTTTGGTCGATTTTTATTTGTGAACAATGGCGCTGTTGAAAACTCTCCTTGAGTTCCAATCCACTTGTAAAATTTTGATTCTCGGCTATTGTGTGGAACGTTTGGCTTTTGTTTCATTCTTAAACAGACCCTTCAATGCATTGTTTGTTCCTCATTGAATTGTGGCAATGGCTAATTAGTTCTAACCAAGTTTGGCTAATTAGTTCCCTAATATATATCCCCTGTTGGTTGTTCATATCCAAGAAGAAAACATTTTATTGGGTCGTGATGCAAGTTCTTTTCTTTTCTCCGTGCAACCCGTGTTCTTAATTTGATCTAAATTATCGCTGTCTCCGTTCATTTATGACTTACCTCTCTCGCTAGATTCTGGTTCAACTCTAATCAAGGATCAAGAGCCATATGTAACACAACCGAGTACAGCGACACCTCCAGATTTCCGCAGAACAGATGTTCACAACAAGGGGGAAAAACCAATTTGGGAAGCTCCAGACACCAAAACTATGCCTCCTCCCGAGACTTTTCTTCTAAGCAAGGAACTAGTTCAGCAAAGGGCAAAAGATAACATAATAATAGTGACATTTGGTAACTATGCATTTATGGACTTCATCCTTAGTTGGGTTAAGCATCTGACAGATCTTAATCTTTCTAATCTTCTTGTTGGTAAGCTACTGAATCCTTCCTAATATCATTTGGGTGGCAGCGTTAGTGAATTGATCGTTTTTCCTTCCTTCGAATAGGAATGAGCATATATATACTGTTCATTACTTTGAAAATATGTTTAGGAAGCTTGGATGATTGTTTCAGGTGCAATGGATACCAAACTGTTGGAAGCTTTGTATTGGAAAGGTATTCCAGTTTTTGACATGGGAAGCCATATGAGCACAGTGGATGTTGGCTGGGGGTCACCTACATTTCATAAGATGGGACGAGAAAAAGTGATTCTTATCAACTCAATTCTCCCTTATGGTTTTGAGTTATTGATGTGTGATACAGACATGGTCTGGTTAAAGGTACGTTTCAGAATCGTTATTTGGTTGTTCCTTCACCGGCAAGCTACTTCTAAATTTTGGTTTTATGTTAATGGCTAACTTGTTTCATTGAGTATATTCTGCGCTGGGCTTACCTAGAGAGACTTCCTGATCTCAATACTGTAAACATGTCAAAACTCTTTGGATTTGTTTAGCGTGTCGAAGTCGTTCTGTTAGTCTTATTATTTGATAGAAACCGATTTTTTTGACGTTGTTTTACTATTCATGAGTAGATGGGGAGATCTCGGGGCGGGAGGGAGGTTTTCTTTTTGGATTTTCAAGAGTTGAGAAGTCAATAAAATAATATTGAACGAGACACTGATCTTTATAAGGTCTAAGTCCCATTAAAGTCATGAGAAAAATTAACAGAAGTCCCTGTAATCCTCATTATGCATGCAATTTCATGGTTGATTTTCATTTATTAAAATCTTTCATAGATTCATTTCAGATTTCTTTTAATGTTACTATCAGAAAAATCTTCACCTCATAACTCGTTTCATGTAACAGAATCCGCTCCCATATCTTGCTCGTTACCCTGAGGCAGATGTCTTAACTTCAAGTGATCAGGTTGTACCAACAGTGGTTGATGACAGTTTGGATATATGGAGCCAAGGTGAAGTATTAAATATTCTCCATTCTTCCAAGATATTGATCCAAAGTCACTTCTTGAGTTTTCCCAGCCCAAAATATAAAAGAAAATACTATGTGCAAGCATAGAGTTTACAGCATTAGCTCCCTCTATGAGCTGTAGAAGTAAAGCTGTTTAAAATTGTCTTCTTCGTGTGTGTTTCATGAATGTTCATGAAATCAAGAACACATAAGCACATTTGTAAGTAGGAAATGCAGAGGTTCATTTGGATACTGCTAACGCCTATAATTCTGTAAGTTTCTTTTGCCATGGTTGAAATTGCTCCATCTTCGTGTCTTCGAAGAGATTCAAACGTTATCGGGACATTGTTTTGTGCAACTGAAGTTTCAATCTCTAACTGGATGATTTTTTAAAATTTCTTTCAAATTTTGCCTTTTGAAATAACTCAGTACTTTGTGCCGTAGCAATATTAAAGGTAGTAATGCTCTTGAAACAGTCTCTGGTGCCTTGAATATTGGAATTTTTCACTGGCGGCCTTCACAAGCATCAAAAAAATTGGCCAAGGAGTGGAAGGAAATGCTCCTAGCCGATGATAGTATTTGGGATCAAAATGGTTTCAACCAACTTGTTCATAAGAGATACGGACCAGCTGTTGATGAAGACAGTGGACTCGTATATGCTTATGATGGTTATCTCAAGCTAGGAATTTTACCAGCAAGTATTTTCTGTAGTGGACACACCTACTTTGTCCAGGTAGGACCTCCACGCTTTGCCTCAGCATTTTTTTTCTCTATAGCATCCGTGAATTTTCGGGTCACAGCATCCTATTAATCAGAATGGCCATGTAAACGTATCCTCATTAGTCTACTAAAGGAACTAAGCATCCAATTACAATGGCAGGCAATGTTTCAACAATTTAGATTGGAGCCATATGCCATTCATACTACATTCCAGTATGGGGGTACTGAAGGAAAGCGCCACAGGCTGCGCGAGGCAATGGTTTTCTATGATCCTCCAGAGTACTTCGATACACCGGGTAAGTTCTGTACAAGATGCATGGATCATTCTTTTTAACTACATGATGCTTAGAGGAAGTGAAGATTCGAGCCATCTGATTTCTGTCACTCACCTTTGAATACTCGTGCTTTCGTGATTAGTCTTGTGTTACCTCTGTACCGGTCATGACAGAACCCGCTTTACGTTGATGTTTATGGGGAAGATTTCAATTTTATTTGTGGCTTCATGATCAAATGAATGGCATGCCCCACTATTGAAGATATTGTGACTGATGCTTGAATGTTTATTCATTCCTTGGAAAATTCTGCAGGAGGTTACCTGTCATTTAAGCCATCAATCCCTAGGAACCTACTACTTGAAGGAGAGCATAACGTTGATACACACTTCATTCTTATTAACTACCAGGTTGTGTGTTCTAACAATAGACCTAAGTGTTTCTCATATGATGTCCTAAAACGTCGCATTTCTGATTTTCTGCTTCGTG